ACACTTTCAGATCTATTGGTTCGTCGGAATCGATGGACGACTCGTTTCGCGATTTGCGATCTTTGGATGACTTCTTGGAGGCCCTCTTCGTCTGGTCGGAGGAGTCGACGCTCGACACGGGTTTCAGATTCTGGTAGTGATTGTAATGCTGTGTCATTTGGAGTCCGTCTCTAAACGATTGGTCACATCGGAGACAGACGTAAGACTCGGGTCCGAAGCCGTCCTTAAGCCGAATGCCGTGTTTCACGAAAACCCGCTTTTCTTTCACCGAAAATCGTTTCAACTCTTTCTTTCGACTCAATAAGTATTTCAAGTCTTTCTTATCGCGAATTTCGGTCAAAAATTTGAGATCAATGTCTTCGTAACCGTCTTCTCGTTTGTTCTTCATGTGAATGAAACTCTGGATATGTTTGACGCCATCACTGATGGACAGGAACTCCTTCTCACATAACTCGCAGTAAGACTTCTCGCTTCTCATCACAAGTCCCTCGTCTTTGAACGCATTCAATGAGTCGCTCTTCGGTTTCGTCTCTTTTCGGCTACTCTTCGCAACATCTGATCCGCCGTTTGTGTCCACACTTTGTCTTCGTTTTGATTGTCTGCTGTTGTGATCACTACTCGACGGCTGTGTTGGCGACGACTTCTTCGACTCCTCCGATGGCTTGAAGGATGAAATGAAGAGCTGTTTCGATGATATCTGTGGATCGACTGATGAAGTGATGACCAAATCCGACGTATCATTGGTTTTGAGTCGTTTGGGATCCGATGTCTTGTCGCGGGACGACTGATGGGATGACTTGCGGTCTGTTTTGCCGCCGAGGGATCCGAACGGCGCTAAGACACGAATTCTGGCCAAACATTTGATGAGAGTCTTGGAATCGGACAGACGTTTGAATGAATTGGTGTTTATGTCGAAGATCTCGAAGACGTGTGAATCGAGTGATAGTCGAAGTTTGGGATCAATTCTGCAGATGTGTTGATAAACGTCAGCGAAGTTCACGTAATGGATGTCTTTGTTGATGATAATCGTGTGCTTCTTCTGATTGATGGTCACAAAGCACTCGAAGTTTGATCCCATCGTGTGATCACTTCACTCCTCACCGCCGATGACTATAAGTGGACACAAATTGAGTGCGATTTTTGACAAAACATTTTGTTTTGTTTGCAAACAAACCATTCATTCAATGCTTTCGACCATAACTTACGTCCAGTTTATATGAAATGAAAAAGTTTTTACCGCAAAATAGTTTGTAATTTGTATTAAGTTGTTGTCCACACGTTATTGGATCAGCTCTGGTGATAGTCATGAAAGGTATGTGTGTTGTCCAACACTTCATATATAAGGTCTGTCTTGTATTTTATTTAAATATAAGTTAAGTATAAATATTATGTAAATATTAAGCTCTGTTACGGGTGTTGTGTCAGCACTACCCACACCTCCACTTCGTTATCACCGCTGGAATCACTTTCTTTGGGGGTTATGTATCATTGGATTGTAGACTCAGATGAAGACAACTCTTATATACACTTTTATTTAAATTAAACGCTGATTTTGATATAAAATAAAAGTTTTTATTAAAATTTAATGCAAATTTATATTTCAAAAGTAATACGAAAGTTATTAAAAGTAATACAATAATGAAGAGAAGAGACCGCAGACCACAGCACATGAGTTAGCGAAGTGTCTCTCCTTCTCAAGAGCTGATCCCGTAGTCTACTGTCTCTTATATTCTCCCAAAACGTTATACTTTGTGTTGAAGTTTTTGAGTCCAATTGAGGCCTTTCTCTAACTTTTCCCCTCAAATGTCTTTAAAAAAGTAATAAAATTAATCAAATGTAAGAAAACAGCGAAATACGTGTTACGGAAAACATTAAAATATTATGTTTTACTATTAAGTTTCTTTCGACTTAAAAGGGATTGACTTATAATTAAAGCTGAGTTTGAATGAGATTTAGTGCCCAAAGAGACGCCCCGAGAGGGGACGCGACCACAAGCTGTAGATTCACGAGAAGTTACAAATAAAATACAATCCATGAAAAGGGATACCATTTGGGGGCCAAACACCCATCAAAAGGTCAAAAGATGTTCCCCTCTATTATGGACACAAAGATCACTACAAAAAACTATATTTATTTAATGTTCAAAATAAAAGTAAAAACAATTTGTAATTCAAAATTCATTTTTAAATTTCTGTGTTTTCCAACGACAAAAAATTCTTAAAAAACATTAAATGAATTAATTTTAATTTTCTTGTGAATTGAGTATTTGTTGAAATTTAATGGTTATTATAAGATATTTTCAGACAGTGTCAACGATTAAATATATTGTAAATTTTACTGTATATAAACTTAAATATACCTTTAAATTACAATTTATTAAATGAAATACAATTTATATAATATAAGAAGCAATAAAAAATTAATTAAAATGACATAAAACTAAATATACAATATTTACAAATTACATTTAAATTATTATTGATGTAAAGTATACACGATAACGATCAATATATTCAGGGTCTTTGCCGGTCGAATGAACAGAAAACAATTGTTATAAAAGTACAAATTAAATAAAAGTTGTTGTCCACACGTTATTGGATCAGCTCTGGTGATAGTCATGAAAGGTATGTGTGTTGTCCAACACTTCATATATAAGGTCTGTCTTGTATTTTATTTAAATATAAGTTAAGTATAAATATTATCTAAATATTAAACTCTGTTACGGAGTTGTGTCAGCTCTACCTACACCTCCACTTCGTTATCACCGCTGGAATCACTTTCTTTGGGGGTTACGTATCATTGGATGGTAGGCTTAGCTGAAGACAACTCTAATATACACTTTTATTTAAATTAAACGCTGATTTTGATATGAAATAAAAGGTTTTATTAAGATTTAATGCAAATTTATATTTAAAAAGTACAAAAGTTATTAAAACTAACACAATAATGAAGAGAAGAGACCGCAGACCACAGCACACGAGTTAGAGAAGTGTCTCTCCTTCTCAAGAACTGATCCCGTAGTCTACTGTCCCTTATATTCTCCCAAAACGTTATACTTTGTGTTTAAGTTTTTGAGTCCAAATGAGGCCTTTCTCTAACTTTTCCTCTCAAATGTCTTTAAAAAAGTAATAAAATTAATCAAATGTGAGAAAACAGCGAAATTCGTGTTACAGAAAAGATTAAAATATTATGTTTCACTAAAAAATGCATTTAAGTTTCTTTTAACATAAAACCACAAACTGTAGATTCACGAAAAGTTACAAATAAAATACAAACCATGAAAAGGGATGCCATTTAGGGGCCAAACACCTATCAAAAGGGCAAAAGATGTTCCCCTCTAAATTTATTAAGGACCCAAAGATCATTACAAAAACTATATTTATTTAAAGTTCAAAATAAAAGTAAAAACAATTTGTAATTTAAAATTCATTTTCAAATTTCTGTGTCGATAAAAAATTCTGAAAAGACATTCAATAAATTTTAATTTTCTAGTGAATTGAGTATTTGTTTAAGAAATTTAATGGTTATTATAAGATATTTCCAGACAGTGTCAAAGATGAAATATAATGTACAGTATATAAACTTAAATATAAATTTAAATTACAATTCATTAAATAAAATACAATTTATATAATATAAGAAGCAATAAAAATAATTAATTAAAATGACATAAAATTAAATATACAATTATTTACACAATATTTACAAATTACATTTAAATTATTATTGATGTAAAGTATACACGATAACGATCAATATATTCAGGGTCTTTGCCGGTCGAATGAACAGAAAACAATTGTTATAAAAGTACAAATTAAATAATCCTGGTTTTTATTGATTNCAGGGTCTTTGCCGGTCGAATGAACAGAAAACAATTGTTATAAAAGTACAAATTAAATAATCCTGGTTTTTATTGATTTATTGATTGATGTGTTTTAAATGACATTTACAAACATGTTGTAATTGCAGCAAATCTGTATGAAACCCAACACAACACACAAGCATTTCAAATTTAATAAATAAAATTAATTATGCACCTTTAGTTGATGTCTTGTTACCATAACGATTTATTTATTACTTTTAATATATTAATAAATAGTAATTTTATCAACATTTACAACACATCAGAGCAAAGACAGCCACTGTCTGCCAAAAATACATAAACGACTCTTCGTTTGGCTATTTCTTTATAATCCGTAAGTTTAATGACATTTCATATTAAAACATGTCTTTAAGTTATTAATAATTTTAATTCAATTATTGATTAATTAAATATAGAGTAAAATTGATACATAATATTCAATAAATTATGAATAATCGTCAAAAATAATTTATCACTAATTGTGTTATTAATTCAATTATATATTTCTATTCTTGTAGAGCAGTGTATAGTGTATAACAAAATTGATAAGTTGTGTTTGGGAAGTAAGTTTTGAGGGCATTTGAACCAAGAGTGTTTTATTAATTTGTGCAAACATTAACTGATATCGTGTATAATTTGGTACTATTTTTATTTGTTCTAGGATATTTAACAATAGAAATGACTAATATTGTTCATGTTTTGTATTGAATTAGTAAGTAACCAGTATTTTCATATGAAAGCATTTGTGTACCACATTTTTACCTACAATATTTTTACCTATCTGTAAAATATACTGACAATTATTGTGAAGGAATTAAGCAAAAATAATAGCAATTATTTGCTGACAAATGATAACAGTATTTATATTCAAATAAAATGATTAGAGATTTAAACACCCGATAGAAAGTTCAATTGAGAGCACAGTATAAATGTTTGTTAAACAATGTAAAAGTAAATCACATTTAAATTCATATCTCTTTCTCGTGTTTATCTGGAATAAGATTTTTGTGTTTATTTAACGAGATTTATATAAATTGAGAGCAAAACTGCCAAAAATCACAAAATCATTGCTTTTATTGTGTATTTCATATACAGATCAGAAGAAAGTGACAAAAACTAAACCACAAAATTGTTGAAAATGTTAAACTTGAGATCAGCTCTACTCGTTGTGTCCATAATTGGCATTTCGGTGCACATCATGTATGCGACCGATTGTGTGAAAGGCATAGCAGTTGTGAAGTCCAATACTGTCAATGGTTTGGTGCGGTTTGAGACGACGGCCGACGGCAATAACGTGACGGTCAGCATCAATGTGACGGGACTCGTGCCGGCCGGCGATCACGGCTTTCACGTCCACAAGTTTGGAGACCTGAGCGACGGCTGTATGAGCACAGGACCTCATTTCAACCCCTATAACCAGACTCACGGCGCGCCCAACGATACGGTCAGACATGTGGGCGATTTGGGTAATATTTTGTCCGATAAAGACGGCAATATTGTCCTCTCGTATAACGACAGCCAAATCAAGCTCTCGGGCGCCAACAACATCATCGGAAGGGCTGTTGTGTTTCACGCACTCGTCGACGACTTGGGAAGAGGAATGGGTGAGAGAACCGCTGAGAGCAAGAAGACTGGCAACGCTGGCGGTCGGGTCGGCTGTGCCGTCATCGGCATCGCCAAGGATTAGGATAAAGGTTTTCACAAGTTTTCCTCTATTTTAATGGAAAAATTGTGACAAATAAATACATTTTTAGCACATTTTTTTATATAAAAGTTTTTGTATGATAATATTTGATTAATGATATTATAAACATAAAACGAGTTATAATTTGTGTATATTATTTATTTTGTGTTTCTCTAATTGGATATAAAAGTGTTTACATCAATCGTATATGAATTAAATTGTAAAATAACTAAAACCATGATTTGTACGTTTGGTTTGTATGGTATAAACGATACAGTGATAACAACTTTTCTAACTGTCATTACTGTTATAAGTTATAACTTATGATTTATAAATATAAGGACGTTATCTCATAATTTTGCTGTAAATATGTTTTGTCGCCAAAATATTGCGCTTAAAATACGTGGTAAAGACATCCGATGGTTAAGAAAACAGGCAATTAGTGTCGGAAATAAATTGGTATTAAAAAGACTGAAATTAATTTTAGGCGACAATAATGTATCGATAGATCAGTCAATACGTGAAAGACATGGAAAGGACGAGGGGTTCTACCCGTCAGTGCCGCCCGATATTGTGGTCTTCGCCCAAAACACACAGAATGTGATCGATGTTCACAAACTATGCTATGAACACAACGTCCCGATCGTGCCGTACGGGACGGGAACGGGACTGGAGGGCGGTATTCACGCCCTAAACGGTGGCGTTTGCGTCGACTTATCAAACATGAAAAGTGTTGTCGAAGTGAATGCCAAAGACTTTGACTGCACCGTTGAGGCCGGTCTCGACTGGCGATCGCTCAACGCCTACCTCAGAGACACGGGTCTGCACTTTCCCGTAGACCCGGGCGCCAGCGCTTCCATCGGCGGAATGGCTGCGACCCGAGCCTCGGGAACCAATGCCGTGTCTTTCGGCACAATGAAACAAAA